TACACTTTCTGCTACATCTGGTTATGCTCTTCTAGATCCATCTACTTTTAGGAGCATTGTTGGTATGTTGCAATACTTAACGATTACCCGTCCCGATATTGCCTTTGTGGTTAATCGGGTCTCACAATTCATGTGCAAACCCACTACAGAACATTGGACTACTGTAAAAGGGTTGCTTCGCTATCTTAAGTCCACCTCAACACTTGGGCTCCAGTTTCAACCTTCCTCTACTCTCCAACTCTTTGCTTATTCAGATGCGAATTGGGCTGGAAACCTTGATGACCACAAATCCACAAGTGGTTATGCTATTTTTCTCAGGTCCAATCTTATTTCCTGGGCTTCTCGTAAGCAATGCACCGTTGCCAAATCTTCTACTGAAGCGGAATACCGCTCTCTTGCCACCGCAGCAGCTAAATTAACATGGATCCAATCTTTGCTTGGTGAATTGGGTATATTTGTCCTTGCGCCTCCCATTTTGTGGTGTGATAATGGAGGAGCCACCTACCTAACTGCTAATCCTATCTTACACTCCAAAACCAAACATTTAGAAGTGGATTTTCATTTTGTTTGTGACAAGGTGGTTAGTCATAATTTGGATGTCAGATATATTTCTACCAAAAATCAGCTTTCAAATCTTCTCACTAAAGCGCTTTCCTGCACTCATTTTCTTCATTTTCCCTTCAAATTGTGTGTCTCTAATGGAGAGCTCAATTTGTGGGGACGTAATAGCACAGATGACCAACAAGGCATTTAATCTTCTTTTAGTTTTCCACCTCAACATTTAGCTATTATCTAGATAATAGTAACTTTATGGTTAGTGGTTATTGTTTGGTTACTGTAACTAATTTGTTGTCATGTATAATTTTTTTTTGTTCAAGTTAATGTGTAACTTTTGAGTTGAACTGCAATCAATTCTGAGATTAAATACCAACCAAGAACCATAATCGTTCTGCACACCAGTTTTCGGGTTAATAGTTCAACTATTCAGTTCGAAAAATGGCTTGTTTTGACAAAAAAATAAAAAAATAAAAAAACAGCCAAAGCCGTTGAACGGAGTCGAATGGGTCAACAGTTTGACCACTCAAATCAACGAGACGTTGACCAATTCAATGATTTTTTGCCAGGGACCGATTTTGGGGTAAAACAGAACTACTTGCCTAAATGGTACCCAATAGACCTGTTCATGGGCCAGGCTTGGGCTTGGCTTTTGCCAAATTTTGAATGGGGCCCGACCCAAAGCCCAACCCATGAATAGATCTAGTTCCTAGGTCAACAACAGTTCAAAAACATTTATTGATGCAAACCTCCTATTTTATTTTCTCGTTCATATAAAACGGGACCACATCATTTTATTTTCTATTTTCCTCCTCCCAAACAAACAATCATTTTCCTATCTTCACTATCTTTCATGTTAAGTGGGAACCACATCATTTTATCTTCTATTTTACACATAGTAAACAAATAAAACAAAGTCGAACTTGAAGCAAAAGTAGACCAAAATTTTCACTCAACCAATGTACTCCAATGCATTTACATCAATGCGAATGTAAACAAATGGAGCCTTCAGAAATCAAAAGAGACTGTCAAACTAGGCAATGAAAAGGAAATGTGTATTCGGCATGCTCCAACCTTTAATTCAAATGGCATGCATATACCTTTTTGTGAAGGTACTTATTTGTTTGGAGCAGCACAACTTTAAAAAAAAAAAAAAAGGTAGCTTTTTTCAGACAATTTGATGGAATGGGTCTTATCTAAAACTATTACCATTCAATGAGAAAACATTGCAAAAAAGTTCTTGTAAGTATATGAAGAAAAAATAAAAGCAAGCTATTTTTTTTTCTTGAGTCAGATTTTTTTAATGATGGAATGAATTGAAAATAAGTGATTAGTAGGATTGCAACACAGGCTAGGTTAGCTCAAGTTGAGATCAAACCGAACCCAACCTAATGCATTAAAACCTAAACCCTAACCCAACCCATCATAAAGTTGAGTTGGCTAGATTGGAACCTATGTGGTTATGGATGGTTCAAAGTTAACTAAACCGACCCAACCCTATTACACAAGGTCTAAGTTTATCTTTTAAGGCCTAATTCACTTTTTGAGAAGTTACTTACCTGGGTAAATGTACTTACTCGAGTAATCGCGTTTACCTATGTTCTTTTATTTTCTAGGTAAATAAAACAACTATTTTAGCCTTAAAAAGCCATTATTAAAAGGGATAATTTTGTCCCATCCAAGTGATGGCTAGGGATGGAAATTTTCCCCATCCCAACGGATACCCAACTTCCATTATTAAAAAAGACAATATAAAAATATTATTTATATTTTAAAAATTCTATTTATTTTAAGTAAATTTATATTTCAAAAAATATTGTTAACTAAACAATTTCGGGGATCCGGGTCCTCACAAGGAACCCGTCAGCGATGGAGGACAACTTTTATCGGGATCAGGGTCAGGAATGGCAACTTTGCACTTAGGTGAGAAAATTAGTTACTCACCTAGTACACACGGAAAATAAATTTTTCCATAGAGAAAAAAAAAGAACATAAACATCTTGATCAATAGGAACTAAAATCCCTCTAAAATCCAAAAAAAAAACAACAAACGGGCCCTAAGTTTCCAATTTTTAATGGGATTTATAGGTTTGTTTTGAGTTTTAATTTAAGACCTGAACCAATTATTTAACATACATGCTTCTCATCTTTTAGCTATAACTAATTATACGAGATGTCTAAAATTGTCATTTTCTAGGGGATAAAGATATTTTAAAGAGGTAAAGTAAGAGAAGTAGTGGGTTGCTTGTCAAAAATACTAGCTGTAATCTGTCATATCTAACGTACATTACGGTCCAGTTGTTTGAGGTCTTCAAGAGGTAAATTGGATATGGTTCAAACTTTTAGTTGTATATATAGATATATATGGGTTCGACTACTATATTGAAAAGATATGATATCTGAAAAACTTCTGACCAATTAATTGGAATCATAAACATGTTAGCCAATCAAGTATTATTTATCAAAAATTCATGGGTGGATTTTGATTGGTCAAAACTCTTCTCATACTATATCTTTTCCGCATCATATATATAATGTGACTGCTCTTAAACTCAAATCCACATCGTCACGGTTATCAGCTCAAGATTTTACAAACCCCTAACCATAACCAGTTCCCAAATAAACTGGTCCGACCATCCGGTCCGATCTGATTTTCAAAACGTTGATAATGATAAATACACACACTATGATTCTATGAAGAAGAGGCTGTCAAATTAGGCACTCCAGGCGACCACTCCTTGACGCAACCAATCACATATGAGCATGCACTTGTTCAGAGATACAGAGAGATATCAGATAGATGATTATAGATGCCTCGAGACTGCGACTGTCAACTGCTGCACTCCTAGTCATGGTGGGAACTAGGAACTGGGACACCTCTCGCATGCATTGCACAATTATCTTATCTGCACTCTAAACAACTCCAAACCCACACACACACACTTCTTCGCTCTCTAAGCTATAAGACCCTAGATGGCTGGCTGTTCTGTTCTGTTAAGGAATCACTGTTGCACCATCTTGTTCTTGTCTAGCTTTCCTTCCCGACAGCCTTCACGGCCCACAGAATGATGGCCCATGCCATGCCATTTTGATCATCTTCACCATCATCATCAATCATACTGGGTTCCACATCGGGCCTCAATCTCTCAGGCCCATCCCTTGTTTCTTTATATAGACAAATCTACCCTTCACTGCCATTCATTTTTGCTTCGCAGGCTTCCGAACTTTCCGAAGGGTATTTCCGTCAGTTAATGTTCCACATCCCATCGGGACATGGGACATAACTTCTGAGTCCCCTGTACTTCCCCGAGAAAGAGATGTGTACTTCCATGCGAAGCAACGAAAAGGGCCGAAAAAGTGAGACCCAGCGTGGCCCAGGAATATCCGATTTTTTGTCCACACACCATGGTGCGCAATGCGCATACCTTATCCTCTCTCTCTCTCTCCCTTCTCAGTCCTGTCCGTCTGCACGTGCGCGTGGTTTTGATGCTTCTTTGAATTATGGATCTGATTCAAAGTTCGAACAACTGGCACACATGTGACTTCCGGTTTCGGAATCCGACGAGATAGGCTGACCGGACCCTAGACCGATTACTTTTGGGTGGTCGTGATGTGATCATCTAAACGTGTACTGTAGTGGGACCCACTGTTGATATTAATGGCAACGTTGGCTGGATGTTTCAACACCGTCCGATATACTCACTCAGCTGATTCATGTGGGTGGGACCACTTTCACATTTTGCGATGTGAGTCCCATTCTAAAATCTCTCTATCATAATAGCCATCAAAATTGACTTTGGAGTTGGATGATATCGAGTTGAGACGGAGTGTAAATTGATAATGGACTTTGCGTAAGAAATGGGGGGGGATGACACGTGTCATTAAAGGACTAGCTTTGGACCCACAGTGGTTAATATTGATGAAGGATCATCAATCAAGGCTGGGATAAAGGCCCCCCGAGATTCGTACCCAAGACAAGTCCCAGAGGTCACGACCTAAATTGTGAGGGCCCGCTCCAATTTCCCATGACCCATTTTTGCATAATTGCATTTACGGGCCTCGGGCCCACGTGCCCGAATCGTTGTGGGTTGTTGTGACATGTTTTGCTTTGTGGCTTGTGGCGATTGTTTTGTAGACGACGGAATCAGCCAAACACTACCACGTCGAGCTTCTCAGTTTTTACTCTTTCATCACGCCTGTGCTAAGCAGCCGGATTATGTGGAGATTAAAAAGAAAGAACGGCGTTCTTTTTTCTTTTTTTCTTTTTTTGTATTTATTCTGGTGGTTTCTGATTGGTATTCAGTTCTGTATTCGTTTCTGAGGCAATACATTATAGATTGGGACTAGTTTTAAGCTCCAACTGTTTCACTATGAAGCTGATAATAGGTAAGTGGGTCGTTTGATTCATTTTCTAGTTGCTAACCTGTAAATAAAGAACAATGGTTTGCAGTCATGAAACATTAGAACTAAAGATAACCCATGAAAGAGAAGATGCAGAAGATAAATGGGTATGATTTACTTTTGAAGGTCTACTTAATTATAAAGGAAAAGAAATTGTAATTTTCATAGCTGAAGATGGAAATAATCGAGAATGAAAAACCAACGACCCTCTTTGTTTGTTAAGAGGAGGAGAAGAAGAAGAGGGGCTTCTTTGTTGAGATGGTAGCAATAGAAGAGAGAGAGAGAGAGAGAGATTGGGGGAAGAGAGAAGGGAGAGGGGCCCATCCACCGCCCATTTTACACGCTAGCAATCTTACCGAAGCCAAACCCATTAGCAACCCGTTTTCTTGACCTAACCCTAACCCAGCATAAACTTAGAAAAAGGGAACCAAATAGGCCCCATACCAGGTTAGAGAGGAGAAAGATGGATGATTTAGCTAGAAAATCGGTGGGTGATGCAGAAAAGCTCATCCTCCTTTCTCTTTTCTGGTAGAAGGGTAGTAGCAATTAATTAGTCAGCTGCAGCAAAGAAAAAAGAAGGCAAAGGAAAAAGGAAAAGAGACACAGCAGCCCAGAAGCCTTTGCTCTCTTTTGGTTTTACTCTTCCGAAAGCTTTCTCGATCCACACTTGTTTCTCTGATTCCCCATTTCTGGGCTTCAGTCTACTTGGGTTTTTGTGAACAAGACAGTGTTATACTGTTCTGGAGAAGAGAGGAAACTGAAAAGGAGAAGACAGGCAGAGAGAAAAAGGAGAAAATGGATCCTGTAACAGCATCAACACATGGCCATGCTCTCCCGCCTCCTTTCAACGCTAGAGATCTCCATCTGCACCATCACCACCAGCAGAATTCTGAAGATGAACAAGGGATGAAACGCGAACGTGATGACAGCAGCAACATCCACCACAGCGATAGCAAGGAAATGGTTGTGACAACCGGAGAAGGAGAATTCACGAGAAGACCGAGAGGTAGACCGGCAGGGTCCAAGAACAAGCCTAAGCCACCGATCATTATAACCCGCGAAAGTGCCAATTCCCTCCGAGCTCATGTGATGGAGATCGCTAATGGGTGCGATGTCGGCGAGAGTGTTGCCACCTTCGCCAGGCGGCGGCAGCGAGGAGTCTGCATTTTAAGTGGGAGTGGCACCGTAACTAATGTCACTCTCCGGCAGCCAGCGGCACCCGGTGCAATTGTGACCTTACATGGCCGGTTCGAAATACTGTCTCTCTCGGGATCCTTCTTACCACCTCCGGCTCCGCCGGCTGCGACGGGATTGACGATTTATTTATCAGGTGGGCAAGGCCAAGTAGTCGGAGGAAGCGTCGTTGGTGCGCTTGTTGCATCAGGTCCGGTTGTAATAATGGCAGCCTCTTTCAGTAACGCAGCTTATGAACGGCTTCCCCTTGAGGATGAAGACCCATCACTTCCGATACAGAGCGGCGGCCCTCTCGGCTCTCCGGGAATGGTTGGTCAGCAACAGAACCAACCACAACAACAACAGCAACAGCTTCTGCCGGACCCTAATAACCCTCTTTTCCACGGCCTACCACCCAACCTTCTTGCTCCAGCTGAGGCCTTCTGGGCCACTGCTCGTCCTCCATTTTAACAAATCACAGTACAGTCTCCGAATCTGGTTTAATACACTTTTCCATCACTTTCTTTTTATTGCCAAGAAAGTCTAGAATGACTTCGAGCTCATTAGAATTTATGATGTTGATCATGATTCGGACTTTGTTTTTCCTTCTTCTTCTTCTTCTTCTTTTAGTCTGTGTTGCGTTCAGGGTACGCGTGTCTGTCGAAGAATTATGATCATGTATAAATTGAATGATTTTCTTTTTTGTGAGATTGATCTCAAAACAAGTGCTTCGGCAACTGCCCCAGGTGATCAAATACAGCTCAACTGCACAAGTGAAGAACGATAGCAACAACTAGCTAGAGCAAGGATTGGAATTCTTCTTTCTCTCTCTTCATCTCCCATATGACCCGTCTGATAATTCCTTATTTCTTTCTCTGCAAAAGAAAATTCTACAGGTTTCGCCTTTCTATTGTGTCTTACATCATCAGCGTTTTTTTAGCAGTTTTTTTTTCGTTTGAATGCCTCACCTTCTATTACATGATTCAAGCCTCCGCCAAGCAGGAAAAAAAAAAGAACCCCCTCGATCGGTATTCAGTGCTTGGATTGATTGATCTCCTGATTTAAATTCTCAAATTAAGTCCTCGAGTTCACTAGCGTCAAAGAAAGACTCCAACCCATTATCACATCCACCCTGAGGAATTATTATTATTATTAAAATTATTATTACTATTATTATTATTATTATTATTATTATTATTATTTCACTTAAGTGACGCTTTCATCGGCAAAGTGTTAACATGCAAGGGAGATAGTTTTGAGTCATCTTTTCACAGCTGGTGTTTTGTTACTGATGATTTCTGAGGCGGGAGGAAGACAAGAAGACTATCGGATACTGGGTTACACGTGCACTGCACTGAACCAAACTGCTTTTCTCGATTGGTCGAGACTCAGAGAGTTAAAGTTCTCTAACAGTCTTCCCTTCTCGTTGGTCTCAGTGTAAAGCTACAGTAGTTAAGGAGGCAGTGATGATCGATCGACAAATAAGGTAAGCAAAGTAGAAAAAAAAAAAAAAAATTGTTTGTCTGAAATGGAGCAGAGCAGAGCTGTTCAAAGCCCAGGTCTTGTTTTGTTCCAAGCAGCTGCTCCCCATTCCTCATATTTTCCTTCTCTGCTAAGTTTTCCTTTCTTTTCTGGACTACTACTCATTTCACTCTTTCTCCTTTTTATTTTCTGTCTATTTTCTTCCATTTCCGTTTCAACAACTGGAATTAGCTCAAGTGTTGTTGTACTAGAGTTGGTGGATATCATCTTCTTTTCTCATCTTTCTTCTTCTTCGTTGAGTCCTCGAATGTTTTCGATCCACACAACTGTAATTAGTACAGTGTGTTTGGTTGGTTGCTAAAAAACCCACTGTCATGAGAGTAATTAATGTAGTATTTCAACCAACTGATCTGCTGAATCCCCTCCCCCTCCTCCTCCGCCATCGCCATGTCTTCCTCTTCTTATCCTGTAACATCATTTGTTATATGTTCTGATTAGAAGTATCCTTCCACCAATCTCAAGGGCATTTGTCTTTCTAGCCCCATCCTGGGTTTTCAAACCCCTAGCTAGTTGTTGCTGCCTCTGTCTTGATATATATTTTCTAGCTACCCTATTCCTTTTTTCCTTTTTGGGTTTCATTCTGAGTTATGATCAATATAAGCTCTTATTGTTTCTATACGTCATATTCCTTTCTCTGCTTAGAGAAAATAGGCTTTTGTTACTCAAAGGAAGTTCTCTCCTTTGTTAGGCTTGTTTCTAATGATTATTTTTTAGTCTATCTTGGATTGAACCGCGTACTTGCTGCTATTTTTTTTCCTGTTTCAGAGTGTGCAAGCTTCGTTCCACAAAGGTTTCGACTAAGGTGGATGTTAAATGTTAGTCTTGAATACATATATATAATTAGTTGATTTGATTATTTTGTGGAACCCATCTTACTATACTCGAGTGGAGATATATAAATCCATTCTGGTTCATCATTGTGTCCACCTTTCATCCAGTTCAACTGTTTAATTATTCATGCGGAAACTGTCTCCAAATTGATGGTTCTTAGACACCACTCTCTTTGAACTATTATTTAATCCGCCCTTCGAGCCATGCGAGTGCCAGTAAAATGCGCCTCATTGCGCTGCACACATGCGTGCATACACATGTGCACGTGTTGCGCGGTATCAAACCCCCGTACTCTCCTCTACTATTTCTAAGGAGTGTAAATCAGCTCCTATTAAAATACTGAAAATAAAGTTTATAATTTTCCAATGTGGGACAAGTTCAAAACTAGGTTTTATAAGAAAAAAATTAATTTTTCAATCAAGTGTATAGGTGCAATTTCTCATATAATTGACCAATCAAACCCATTGGATTTAATCTCTTATGAGATTAAAATCCAACAGCCCATTTCTCCTATTCTCGTTAATTCTTAATTTCTTTGGTCGATAAAAGAGAACCCAAAACGCCAAAGTAACACATACAAGTAAAGACTGATAGAACGATAGTTTAACAAGAAAGTGATAAACTCAAGTTCTTTGAAATGCATATGCAAGTAGTAGAAAGAACAAGGCAGCCCAAGTAATCGCTTTTATTCTTCAACTTGGTGTTAGTGAGTATTTAACTTGATTGAAGGTGATCTTTGTATTCTCTTGAGACTTGTGTGGCCATGAGATTTGAATCGCCTTTCTCAACATATAAGTTTGTTGCTATTAATTAAGCAAAGAGTTGCTATGGTGTTTGTTTTTGTCGATCAGTTACAAGTTTTCTGTTTTTTCTTTCTTAGAAAGGAAACCTAGTTCAACCAAGAAAGGAGGGTACACCTTAAATGTTTGCGAGAAAATGGGAGCTCTACGTTTTTTCCTTTATTTTTCCAAGATTGGCTTCAGTCAATGCAAGTAGACCTGTTCATGGGCCGGGCTCGGGCCAGGCTTTTACTCTTTATAAATGGAAATATGTTAGGCCCGAGCCCGAGCCCGGTCCGACCAACGGGCCTACAATTTGAGCCCGGCCCGTCAAGCCACCCGGCCCATGAACAGGTCTAAGTGCAAGGCCCCTTCTAACACTGTTCGAACAGCCTTTACAACTTGCATCAGGAACATCTCCGTACTTGTAAGCTTTATTTGATGGGGAGATATTCCCAATATAAGGCTCTATGATGGTTGTTTGAACGAGCTTTGCACCGACTGAATCCCATTTCTAATTTTCCCCTTTAGTTGAACTCTTGTATGGTTGTAAAGAGAGAATGTAGAAGAATACATGGTTTGAATGAATTTTGGTAAATTTCTTGAGCAGGCTTCAAGTGTTGGAATTGTCCTTTGTTATGGCTCTCTGCACAGATGATATTTGAAGTAGTCAACAGGTTCATCACAGGAAGATCATGCACGTTCATTACATCACTCAAAGGACACTATATGAAATCACAAAACTATAGACTCCCTACTCCCAAATAAATCACAAATCCATATGATTTATGGGCAATCACCAACATTCGTTCTACCAAAACTCTGGTATGAACCAGATGTATATAAATGATCAGCCTTGTTTTTTCTAGATATAAATTAATAACTACCTCGTACTTTAAGGGCAGGGACACTTAAAAGGGCTTAGCTTTTCGCTTTTAAGTCCAAAATTTTTAGAAATACACGCTTAACTCCAACTCCGTTAAAATCAGTGTCATGATGAGGACAAAATTACAAAAATGGCCATGCTTAGATTCTGTTTTGCTCACTTGACCTTTTTATCTTACAAAAAAGAAAGAAAATCTGAATATAGGCATTTTTGTAATTTTATCATCAATTTAATGTTAGTTTTCAGAGTTAGACTCAAGTGTATATTTTTAAAAGTTCAGGCCTTTTAAGTGTCATTGTCCCCAAAATACAAGGCACCTATATGTAATTTACCCTATTAAAAATAGAACTTCTGCCAGTTTTCGACTCCAAGGATATGGTCTGATTCAGTTTTTCAAACTACAAGCATTTATCCACTAGTATAATAGTATTATGTATTATGCAGTGTTTTCAAGACCGGACCAGACTGGAAAAATCAGAAATGAGTCATCTGATCAATTCCATTTTACCTTAAAATTATTTTTTGGCCAAAAACTGTTAATTTAGTCAGTGAACTGCTGACTCAAGCAATCAAACTGTTAAATGGTTGACCCGCACAATAGTTTTAAAAACACATAAGGGAAAATTAGGGATATCCCTGAGCCACCAACCATGTGGCAGGGCAGCTGTTTTGGACGAGGATCTCAGGCCAACCAGAGCAGCCATTACTCCTGATACCCTCTATAGATAACACAATCTTCCCAAGGTAAAAGGTAAAAGGTACAAGGTACAAGGCTCTTCAGCTCTCCTCAATCCCAACTCTCATTACTCTCCACACTCCACATCAGCCTATTGAATACTTTAGCTCAATAGGCAAATTTAGGCTATGTTTGGTTTGTTGCTCTCGGCCTCATTCTTTTAATTCTTGACCATTCTGGATAAGAATGGACAAGAATGAATACATTAGAGTGTTTGGTTACAAAATTCTTGTCATACCTTCATTCTTTTCAGAATGAAAAATCATCTCATAACACATAAAATGAGGTAGCCTGTGTATGAAAAATAACCATGTCCCATCTTGCTCATTTTTATTCTTTAAAGAAATTCTATGTTGACAATCACCGGCCTAGGTCTACAAAACCACTATTATGCTTATAGGTGGACTGCACCATGGGAACTTATGCTGACGCACATTGACTGCCAGCCATTCACCAGTAAACATCCATACCGATGGTTTTAGAGACTTAGGCTCACGGTTTATGGCTACCAGCACAAAGGTTTTTTGAAGAATGAAAATGAACAGCATAAGGCCCTTGTCAGTTTGAAAAAAAAAATCATTTTCTTAAGAAAAAGAAAAAAAAGTATTTGATTCATAGCAATATTTTCTCATTCTATCCTCCTTGAAACCCCAATGTGTCTGAATGTTTGTTTGTAATTACATGTTGCCCGAGTCCGAGCAGTATTCTCGATCTCTCCTCATCGTGAAACCAAGCGGCAAGACATGGTTAAATAAAGAACTTAATACACAACAAGAATGCACTAGATTAGCAGTTTGTTATCCACACGCTCATCCATCAGTTAAATGATTGAGACATAGTTCTTTCCTTACCTCTTTTACTTATAAGCGTTAAGGGTGCATCTCAGGCTGGGCTAGATCCAATTGAGGTCAACCTTAGCACAACCATGTGTAAAAACATCAAGCCTAAAGCAAACCCAACCCACCGGTTCTCAATCTTCACCCAATATATCTCGGGTTGTCATTTTCTAACCCTAATCGTAATCAAATCTTCAACATATCCTAAGCTAACACTTTTTTTTTTCAGGTTGGCACAATAGACATCAATTAGGATCCTCACAATGCCATATTTTCAACGTATACCTCTTTGCATCCACGCCCCCATGATTTTCGCAATTTCTTATATATCCCCCATGCTAACGAATCAGAAATCACTAATTACCCTATGATTTATAGATTGACTGCATACATTTACTCCCTAGTCCCTACCTTTTACTTCAAACCAAACAGCCTTATATTAAAACTGACCTAGAAACCTGGACCCAAATTATGATATCAAGCAATTACATTTAAATCTCTCAAATAGAATAAGATCCACCGTATTTGTTTTTAATTTGGATTTTTTTTTTCATTCTCTCAATTTTCTGTTTATTTATTTTCATATAGAATGAATTTCTTTTTTGTTAAATTGGAATAATATATAATGCTACCCAGATCAATAAGAAAGTGTGAAACCAATCTAATTTGCATTGTCGTTGATCACCCGATGTTATTTAACGCTTGTGACATGAGATTCATTAACATGCTAAAACCTTTCATGGGTATACAAAGAGAGTAGTCCATCCCCCATCCCCTTAACCCCCAAAACCCTAGTGGCAACAAGATTTGATCCCACTTAGTCAACATCAATTGGTTTTTAAAACTAATACCAATGTGCTGCAATAAAATTCTTGTTTCATGTATAACATCAAGCGCCAAGAGTTACTTGGATAAGTATTACACTCCACCCATTTAGATAAATAACTTATCTGTTTACAAGAAAAATTACTAATACATGATGAAACAACATTATTCCCTCAGTAATGATATTTGGATAAACCAGTCATTAAAGTGCACTTATTCGGAACCAAATGTTTCTAGATAACATTTGCACGGGTAAACGCATTTATCCAAATAAATACCTTCCTAATCAGGTAAGAAGCGGAAGGTTTTAAAAGGTACACGGTAAACCCAAGCCAAAATAACACTTCGAGTAAAAGAAAACCAAAAACACCATTCTAATCTCTACAAGAACTCTCCTGGCTCACTGAAAAGTGTAAGATCACAAGCATATAGACTAAAACAAAGCCCTTGAAGGCTAACTGGCATTAGACAGATTCAAATAGACTATTTGAAGAAAAACTACACATACCCTTCTATTATCCCATATAGCACCTTCAGACTTGAACCCAACGAGCATCACTCGGAACCGGGGACTATTGTTGTTAATCATCTTTTAAATGTAAAGCAATTCTAGCTTCAAAAGACAACCCCGAAGAAACCAATCAGAGGCTCGGGTATTGTAAGCTTCATGTAAAGTTAGAATGGAGCATCCAGAATTAAGCACATACCAGAAGCTCTACTATATATATTACATGCTTAAAACTCAGGAACCAATGTTCTTCAGCAGAACCACAAGACAAGAAACACATTGAAGCACTATGAATATCAATGAGTAAAACGACTATGTATAGAGAAAATAGAATACCTTTTTCCATTGCATATACATTGATTTCTACACCATTTTTCTTAAGAAGCTACACTTGGGCAGGTCCACTTGAATTAAACAATGCAACAGAGACGAGAAAAGAAATTAAAAGAAAAAAAGAATATGAATAAAGGGCCCTAAAGGCGCATCCATTTAAGGATTACAAGCCCAACATTTAACAAAACTTCAAATGGATCCCACCTGATAGAATGCCTGCTTATTCATCCATAGAAGACCAATTCATCGTGTGCAAGCCACAACAGTGTAGCCTATGATTAGCTTCCTCACACCACCACACCTGCAGTCTACTTTAATATATACCACAAACAGCCTGGCACTAGTCATCTTCAACACTCTATCCGTAACCGCCTCAGTTCAGCTTGAAAAGTAGGGCTGGAGGTCAATGTCCGATGTGCAAGATTCCTTATGTCCTCCCGGGAACAGTCTCGTGAAATACGAACAAGCTCCCAGAGGGCACCCCCACTAATCATGTCCTTTGCATTGACTTCTACACAAGACAAATCAGAGTTTTCAAGCAACAAAGCAGAAAAAAGAATTCCAACTTCTGGTTTGAGGGGGAAAAACCCACTTACCATGTTGTGCCAGGTGACATAGGGCAAGCTCAATATGGCGTCTGATTGGTGAAGCTTCATTGTTGGCATTTTGTACAATCCATGGAAGAGCTCCATCATCAATCAGAAGAGACTTTCCAGTCTTTGCCCCTGTGGTATTAAGCAGCACCAGTAGTACTATAAGTCAAAATTTTCTGGCCCCCATTTCTTCTGCCATTTAAACTACAAATTGTTTTTCTAGCTTAGACAGATTTCCCCTTTAATCAGCAATGAATCCATATGATAATTCATCAGTAAACAAATAGAGATCTGAATGGCATGGTACTCTTCAGAAAGGTCTAATGTGACATCTAAAATTAATCAATATATTGGAAACACCAACTTTTCTTAGGAAAAGTCTGAAACTCTCCAAAATTTACATTCATCCAAAAGTGGTGGCCTTGCAGGATATTTACCTTGAGTTGATGCTCTGGACTCACATTTGGCAAAGTTCGCAATTCCGCGTGCAACTTGGGCAAGAACATCAGGATGTCCACATCTCACCATTCCTAGTAATGCTTTAATACCACCCTCACCTCTGAGTTTGGTTTGTAGCTTATCTGGAAAAAGAGATAGTCAATGACAGCATATGTCAGTATTTCGTTACACAAGAAATTCTGAATAATAGAACCACACAAGCAGTTCAAGGATAACGGATAACCATACAAGTCAGGCTTCAAGCTTTTCTAGGGATTGCAAAACTATTTCAAAGAAAGTAGAAAGAGGGTAATAACAAGTACAAGACACAAATACACAACAAGATGAACAGAAATAAAAGAAAAAAAAAAAAAACTTCTCACTACAAAGTCAATTATTAAATTCGACACTTACTATTCCTGAAAAAAAGTCAATTTGTAAATCCATGTTCCCCATGAAGAAGATGAGGAAAGAGAAGATAGAGTAGCTAAAACCTCGTACTTAGCCAGATAAACCAAATATAAGCACAAAGCTAGAAAGGTGATTCATGGCATGTAAAATTGTTATCTGAAGTTCTCTAAAATTTTAGTCAGTTGTGTTTTCTACTATGACAGACTTTACAGTAAGTTGAGAAGCTTTTACTGATAAAAGACAAAACATATAAAAAAGAAAAAAAGGTGAGAAAACATCTCCAAATAAAAACAGACAGTGCCTTCCAGAAGTGATTATACAAAAAGCAAAATGGTGAGTTGGTTATTTTTCCTCCTTCCCTTGCGAGTGTTCCCATTTGTTATCCAACTTATTTTGCCATCGGTGAACCTTATTGCAAATATGGCAATATGAATTAACAGTCAAGGAAAATGGCCCACTCAGTGACAAAAATACTATGGAGAAGATAATTGATGATGTGGCAGTTTACCATTGCCACAGAGATTTGCAATGGCTCCAGCAACCATTCGAAGAGTTTGAGGATCCTCAGCATCAGCTGCTGTCATTGACAATAGATTAATGCCACCCTGAGCCATTATAAGTTCTTGGTTTTTTTCTGGCACAAAAAAATAAAGATTAGCAGCAGGAAATACTAAACCAAGAGAAATTATCAAAATAAATAAATAAAACTAAACCAAGAGAAAGAGCAATGGCATCATCTATCATCATAACATCTATTCAATGGAAATACAACACACTCAAAATTATTTTTTGATCATTGCAGAACTGGGAAATCATTGCCTCACATTAAAGATACAACACACCTTAAGTACTTACCATTCATTGCAAGGTTAGCAATTGCACCTGCTGCTACTCTGCGTATCATTTCGTCCTCTGAGCTACTAAGAAGCATAAGCAAGGAAGTGAGCCCACCAGCTTCTACAATCTTCTCCTGATTTGCTTCTGCATATTGTATTCCAAGAAAGCATTATTACTGCTAGAAATGCAAGTTTCCAGTTGACTACAGTAATCTAAAATCTAAATAATAAATGTTTATAACTGTTAAGACTTGTTTTAGCATCTCCTACACAGAAAAATAATAGGACAAGTCAAACAGATGCCTCACCTAAGCAATTGCATCTAGTGGTGCCATGACACCTCCCAACACCAAGTACAACAAATCAAATTATTTTCTTCAGATAGCATGCATATGACTTATAACACAAAAAGAAAAAAAAATAGAATGGTTACAGACATAACAAATTTCATAAATCGATTATTACTTGTCAACTAGATTGTTATGAAGAGACCAGGCCTGTCTCTAAAAATTCATATGCCATAGCCAAATAAAGACTTCAAAATTTTCCTTATGTACTAGCCAAAGGCCCTTGAAATCAGACACATACACATGAATAATTCCTTCTTTTAATTCCAAGAATGTACTTAATATTTCTATTTATGCCTGTCTCTCCACCTACATCCTTAACTAAAATCATATACAAAAAGAAGAGCTCATTATACATATCATACTCATTATATGGGACCCAGATCAAAATGTTGTACTTTCTCTACTATGTGGGTCCCTGCACACGCTTCCCTACCTAGAAACCTTATATATGAGCAACAAAAACACATTTAATTATATCAACCTGTCTTGCTGAAAGAAATGCCCTTTGGAACAATGTTTTAAAATGCGGAGGCGTGACGCGAGGCGTTCCACTACCTCGAAGCGTGAGGCGAAGTTCAGAACGCAAGAGGCGTAAGCCTCCTTAAGAGTTGGGGGTCAGGAGGAGGATGAAGAGTAAGGGGGGATCTCATTTTTTCTTTATTTTTAATAAAAATCTTTTATATTAAGAATAAAGATGCATAACATTAGTTGAAAGGGGAGATCTCATTTTTTCTTTATTTTTCTTCTCTTTCTTTTTCTTTCCCTTCCCTTTCTTTTCCTTTTCTTTCCATTCCTTTCCCTTTTTTTTCTTTTTTCTGTCTTTTTATATAAATGTGCATGAGGCACATGAGGCGTACGCCTCTAGCACGCCTCATGAAAAAAGCACAAGAGGCGTACACCTCTTGCACCTGAGGTGTACACCTCAAAGGTGTCAGCACCTCTGGCATACGCCTCAGGACGTTTTGGGAGTGCTCCAGGCGTACGCCTCCCAAGCCTTTTAAAACACTGATATATATATATATATAACTCAGGGCCCCTTCAAGAAGCACATCAAAGTGGATTATGCTTAGTTGCTTGCGTTGTAAAATCAAACAAGTACAAGTAGAACTCTGAAACACAAAGCAAAGAATTAGAGACCTGAATAAAATCAAACCAATAATCAATTGAGATATACAAGTAACTACCTTCCGCAGCTAAGTTCGCTACCACTTTCACTGCATGAATTCGTACATCAGCATCTTCTGACTCAAGGAGTGACAAGATCTTTTGCAATCCCACTGTCAGGTTAGAGTATTTTATTAGGAAAACTTAAAAAACAAGTTCGATATGAAACCATATGGGCTTAGTATTAAGCAGCATCAACAATCAATTCAAACTTTGTTTATTACCTTGTTCAAAGAGTTTGGCAATCGATGCTTTGTGTCCATTTCCTGGATCTCTGGCATGTGGATGCCTAACTTGAGTCACAAGGGAATCAAGGCCATTGAAAATTTTTCCAGGCCCACCTCTGTCAAGACTCCTCCTTGTCTGCCAACATTTAAGTAATACATCATGGATGATGTAGATCGTAACTATTCCGACCATATCAATAAAGTTGACAAATATTAACTTTAAGAACACAAAGTTACAAACAAAGAGAAGAAATGGTTTTTGTCAGATTAGTCATTTTGGAGATCTAGAAAACAAAATCTTGCATGTGACAAATTGGTTGGTGGCCCCAAAGAGGCTCTAAATATGCCCTCTGTTTAAGCCTGCAGCTAGGGATGAGCATCAGACCACGCTGACCTAGCCCAGCCCAAGGTTCATGCCACCAGCTTTCCCATACTGAGGTAAGATGGATGTGCCAGCCCAAATACAACCAGAAGCTGGGTATCAGGTCACCCTTGGGATACATCTATATTTTAAAGACAATACTAACCATAAGGTGATTATATTCCAGGTGGTAAAAAAAGTATTTTATTTATATGGCAAAGAATGTGTAATGATGATACATCAAGCAGCAAACAGACGAGAAATCATGCATGCATATGAACATATTTATACTCAAATCTAGAAACAATGATATCTTTCCCATAGAATATTCCACAACAACTAGGAATCAAGCCTAGAAAATAATTTGAAACACAGCATACCTCCTCAGCTTCAAAACTCAATTGCAACAGTTGGCTCTTCAATATTGTGATTTCTTCTTCAAGTTTCATTTTCTGATGTGCCTCATCTTCCAGCATCTTGCGGAGCTTTATGATCTCAGCATTTCCAGCTGCCTAGGTCAACAGAAAGTATTGTTTTATATACCACCTGGCATAAAATAAAGAATATGCCAAGATGAATTAATGATACTCAGCAACCTGATAGACAAATCAGACCTCTGATCTTTTCCATTGTGCTAATTGACTTTTAAGATTGTTGACCTCCTCCTCAGCAGCCTTTTTTAAACGAAGTTCATTCTCTAGTTCTTTCTTTACCTCAGCAACTTCCTCAGAAATAGAGACTGCAGTGTCCTGGACACCAGAAAGGAAATGAATCATGAAGAGATTCATCTAGAAATAATCATCCAAAATAAGCAAGAAATTATCTGAAACCAACATGGCCAAAATGATAATAACAAAGATCAGACTATCAATTATCGTTTTAAATAATTAATAGTCTCTGATTCCAGTTGTATAACATAACTTATTGTACTCTGCCTTGATGAGGAAAATTTTGCCAATTGAATGTGTGAATAATATGATCAAGAGCAACAAGGCACACCAAAAACTAAGACATGTATTTCTTTTCTACATGCTTTTCTTTATCCCATCCTATTTCTGTTATCCTCCTTCCTTATGCTTCCCTCTCTCTCTTTTAATTTGGTGGCAGAGTATTTCAGAAAAGTATTGACCAAGAGTCCAGTCATCCCTTTTAAAATTGTTATCATTATCAATCAAAAAATAGAAGCCACATAATGTATTTTTATCAACAACGGTTCAAGCAGAATTTTAGAAGACATGTTTAGCTATAGGCAATTAGCAAGTCCCAAATACATGCATGAAAACATTTATGTGCCCCAACTATATGCAATCAGCTACATGAACCCTGCTCTGCTATTCCACTCTATTCAGTGCCAATTGTCTTTCACCCAGTCAAAGCCCCCAATATAATTCAGTCCTTCTAGTTCTAGCCCCAATATAATGCAGTGTTTATAACTTCCAACTTTTCTAGCAAGAAAAACAAATGGAAACATCATAAAACATCATATTTTGACCAAAATAGCTTCAAACATGCATGAGTTAGACAGAAGAAGCTAGATCCACTACTAATGACAACACAGTTTAACATTTACCATACACTAATCTACTCTGTTAAAACCAAAAAACAAATGTAACCACAGCATAAATTTATTACGATTATAACTGTGTACATCATCAAGAGAGCAAGAAATATCATCAAATAAAACAACCATGTCTTTGATCCCAGTTAGTTGTTGGGTCTATCATAATCCCAAGTTCCTCTTGCCCCCGCCCCTCCCTATCAAATTTTATTTGTTATTAATACAGGCAAAGGGGAAAATCAGAAAAGAAAAGATATTCTTGAAATTCTCATTGTTTGACACAAGCATAAATGAATGGTCATTTGAAATAATAACACATAAGAGAAACATGAAAGACAAGGCATATTTCTAACAGCAAGAAGGAACAAGAAAGAGATATATTTCAAAGTTCAAACATCACAAGATGGAAGAAGAAAAAAGATGGAGAGGAAGTTCAAACCTCTCCATTACATGTCTTATCCAAGCACCCATCTTTGGTCCCAACTCCATTCTGATTGTTGCTACGCTTTTGCTTCTCAATCGCCCATTGTTCCTCAAGCTTCTTTATTGACTCCATGTAGTCCCTTTGGTATTTAAGCCTCTCTTTCTATAAAGAGGAAATACCAACCAAGATTATGGCATTGGAAATTCAGAAATTAAATCAAGTACAAGAAGTACAGCTGGTTAATCAAGTACAAGATCATAGTTTGAAGTTTGAAATTAAAGTTTGGAGAAATTCTGCATGCTTTGAGCACAAATTTGGGAAAATATCTAGAGAAACTGGGGAAACATTTGGGAAAGACTAAGAGATGCACTGAATTAGTAATAAATTTGAGGGCAGTGCTCTGAAAAGTGTGGGAGACAGAATCCAAGAAGCGCAATAGAGAAGCACAGGTGCACATGGGAAGTAAGCCTCCTCTACAGAGGCAACACAAAAAGTACATGCGTCACATAAAGGATATAGAAATACTTAATATGGGAAGCAAACGCACTGTGTGCTATTTAATTATTATATAAAAAGGAGAAACATGGGAGGAACTATAATATTATGTGATCTTATATCATATTAGCTTATCAAAAGATATCAAAAGAAAAGAAAACTTGAGTCCCAAGTCTATCTTGACTTTCATGCAGTGGGCAGCAAAGAGGCTTGGTGAAGGATTCTTTTACAATCAAGGTTTAAAATGTCGATGTCGATGGAAATCTCGCTTACCAAAATATAGGACATATGTCAGAAATGTCGAGGGGAAATACTGTAAAAATTAGAAGAGGAGGGCCAAATAAAGGGATGGAGAATAGGGAGCAGAGGCATTCCAGTARYTCACCTTCAGTTTGCTGATGATATTGTTATTTTCTGTGAAGGGAATGAGTTGAGAAAAGTGGAGAACCTTAAGATTTTAATAAGTACTTTTGAGAGGGTCT